CCCCCCATCCCCCTAATCCCTGGAGAGTATTACTGCTATGTGATCACCCTAGTGTTGATCAGTTAGTACCAATTTGATGGCGAGTACAAGTGGAGCCCATTTTTTGGATCTTGTGGTGCCTCACTTTGGATAATGGGCTTAAGTTTGATCCAGGAAAGTATAAGAGGTTCTAGATCACTGTTGTTTCTTATGATTGAGTAATATTCCATTGTATACACATACCAAATTTTACTAATCCACTCATGGATTGAGGGGCACTTGGGTTGTTTCCACATCTTTGCAATAGTGAATTGTGCTGCCATAAACATTTGGGTGCAGACGTCTCTATTATAGCATATCTTTTGCTCTTTTGGGTAGATGCCTAATAGTGCTATTGCTGGACTGAACGGTATTTCTATTTTTAGCTCTTTGCGGTATCTCCAAATTCTTTTCCACAGAGGTTGCACTAATTTGCAGTCCCCAAACCACTGTTTTTTAAATGGAAACATTTATGTAGCTGTAAATTTAAATCTTGTTTTTCTTCCCTGCATATATTTAGGCTGTAGCTTCAAGTTGTTGGTCAGTGCTGAAACAGAAAAGGCAACAGATGAAGGTAAAATTTATTATGCCCTGGACTCCTGTGTTAAATAATTTGAGGATCCTGTCAGAGAAATCTCTGAGTCAGTTCTTCTGTGGGGATGGCAGCTGATAAGAGGGACTGTCCCTCAAGCTACACAAGTGACTTATTGGTAGTGGGTTGGCTTCTTTTTAAATGCCTTCTCCTTCTTCCTTAATATTCTACATAGTTCAGTATAGCAAGTATTGAGGCATGCATGGTATTTTAACTAAGTGGAAAAGGGTTTAGGGTTGGAAACAGCTCTGATAGAGTCTTTATTTTTTGTCTTTTCTCTTAATATTAATATTTTTAAAAGCTCTTTAATATGGTAGATTCCACTTCATGTAGTCCAACTGAGAAATAAAGATTTGATTCTAATAGCTATTTTAATTCCATTCAAGCCCCTACCAAAAACAGTATCAAAGTTTATATCCTTCCTCCATGCTCCACACCCTGTAACCCAGCTCACCCATATGCTCCTAGTGTTAAAGGGCATGGCCTCTGAAGTGAGACTGCCTGGGTCAAATGCCACTTACTAGCTAGCTGTGTGACCTTGGGCAAGTTGCCCTCTATGCCTCAGTTTCCTCATCTCTTAAAAAAAAGTATAGAAATAGTATCTACTTCATAAGGTTTTTTGAAGAGTCAGTGTAAAGTGCTTACAACAGGGTTTGGCATAGTGCATTGTGCAAGTGTTGGCTATTACTACATTATTATTATTTGTCCAAGGACCTATAGTGTTTTATCATATCCATATTTTTTAATCCAATACTTACAACTTTGAGACAGTTTTACCAAGTACATTGATTCCAAATTATAGTCCTCATAGCATCTTCAGAAAGCGCTATTAGAAATAATTCCAGAAGTCCTGTATTTGAATAATTCTTATTTAAAATGATTCTGGAGAACCCTATATTTTAAACATGTTCCCTTAATGATGATTATAAACTCTCAAGTTTGAGAATCACTGGTTTAGAACCTAAGAGCAGCCTTGTAGTCTTGGGTTTGATTCTCACACTAGCTAGCATGATCATAGCAAGTTACTGACCATCACCTGACCTTTAGTTTTCCCATTTGTAAAATAGAGTTAATGCCTACTTTACAGGACTGCTATTAATATAAGGATGAAAGGAGATAATATCAACAATCTTAATTTAAAAGAAAGGTAAACATAAAAAAAAGTTTAATAAGTGAAACTTCC